CTGCCCTTGACAGAATCGAACCTCAAGCCTTTAGTCCTCGCTCTATCCACTGAGCCAAACCGTCCAGGGCAGAGGCGCCACTGAGGTGTTGGCAGCTGCTGCGAGGACCTCTGAACATAGCGACAAGCATTGTATTTGAGCTTCTTACTCGGGGAGCTTTAGAACCAGGGGAGATTCTGCCTGGAAACCCCGTGTCAGCTCTTCTCCCACCGGCGCACTTGTGCTACAGGCAGAACCCGCGCCAGAATCTAGCAGCTTTGTTTCAGGGCGGGCCTCACCTTCGTATCTGCTGGGCGAGTCGCTCGCTTTCTGTGGGGTCGCCACGCGGAGGAATATCTGCTGCCTCCACGAGTGTCTCCGCGTCTTCACAGGCGTCCCGCTGGGGTCGCCGAGAGGGTGGGCCTTGGGGTCCAAGTCCCTAAAATTACAAGAGAATTGATTTATGACTGGTGAGGAGCTAGAAACAGGTATTTTAGCTTACGTTTTTGTCTTTTAAACAACGCATTATAATACCAACTATATTTGCATAAGGAAATATAATTAGATCCTTGCAGACGTTAAGTCCAGCGGAGAGTGGGCCATCACTCCTGCGCGCTGCTTTCTTACAGGAGGCTCTGCATAAAGAGTGAGGGGACATGCCCCTCATTTATGTCCATGGTAAAGAGATTTAGAAATACCCTCCACGAATCCTTAGCTTCCAGCTGGGCCTCTCTGGGCGCCACTTCATTATGCAGAGGAACTGCCTACAGGGGGCGCTGTCACCAGGGCCACACTCCTCCCTGGTCTGCCTGTGGGAGTATTTCCACAGCACAGGCCTGCGTCTCCACAGGTCATCACACAAAATACAAAACTTAAATTATATAGAACCGCCAAGGCAGTAATTACTCCATCACTTGCTGATGACTACTGACTTAACTTTCGTATTTTTCAAACTACAAAACACAGTACATTTATCAATATTCATAACTAACATCGAGTCATTAACGTGTTTCCTATTCGCAGGACAACTTGGGGAAAGAAGCCCTTATAATCTACAACTGAGTGTGTGTACATATACAGAGGTGGGCAAAAGTAGGCTTACATTTGCTCGTATGGAAAATAATACAATCATTAATAAATAATCATACAAAATAAACTGTTTCGTGCACCCTCAACTGTAAACCTACTTTTGCCACCCCGTGTACATACCCACAACTGTGCAATCACGGGCACCTACAGATCGGACACCCAGCCACACGCTCACTACCCACAGCTCCAATGTCACTTAGAGAACTGGTAAGACCTTCTTTAATCTTCTGAAAACAGCAGCATATTAATAAACAAATCCTTATCAAAATTAGAAGAGGCTGACAGTACATTTTTTAAAATGACATTCAGTAAGAAAAAAAAAGTATAAGAAAGAAGATACAATAAGATTTAGCTAAAATGACTTTTCAAATGGCAAAAGAACAGCTGAAAATCCCTGTATGTCTAACAGTTCAACACTCCACCCAGGCTTGAAACAGCTAAAGGAAGCCCTACCTTTTTGTGCTCATAAAGTCAGAGGTGTTATTTTCATCTACAGGAGCCAGAAATTTTAGGAAATTTGGCACAGAGGAGGAAGAGTGGAGTTTTCTCCGCAGGGCATTGCGGTAGGAGATGCTGAGAGTTCGGTTGGAAAAAGAGTTTAGGATAAAGAAATACAAACATACAAAGTATAAAACACCAGCTTCAAAATTAAAGCAACATTTTAGTTCTAATGCTAAGAGAAAGTAAACCAGGTGGGAAATTAAAAATAGTTTACAAGTGAGATTTAACTTGAATTTTTCAGTTAATAAAATTCCATTTTAAATGAATGGAACCAATGAGTTAATTTAAAAGCATGAGTCCATTTAGTTATGCGAGATGAATGAACTCCGAGAGCTGCCATGCAACACGGTGTCTGGGGTTAACAATACGGTGTGTGACCCTTTAAACACTTGTTAAGAGTGCTGATCTCCTGATAAGCACTCTTACCAGAATAACGGAAAATCAAAACAACCAAAAAAATCAGTCCATCTTCCAAAATGACTCTTTCAAACTGGAAAAATTAATGAGGGTGTTTCTGATGTGGCACAAACTGCATTGTCTAAGGTCAAACACGTGTTTTAACGTGTGTGTGTGTGTGTGTGTGTGTGTGTGTGTGTGTGTATTGGGGCAGGGGAATGTGACAGTAAGTATATACAAATGGCTTGCCATTAAGACCTTTTGAGGAAATTAAAATTTAGGAAAAAATTTAATTTTGAGAAAATTAATCAATAGTAAAATTAAGTCAGTTCGAATGATAGACTGAAAATAATGAAAATAAAGACACACACAACACACACACTCGTGGCCCGGATCCCCTCCATGCAGCACATCCTCTCGGCGAACCTCCCAGGAAGACAAACGACACTGAACTTGCCATGCGAGTGCGCTCACCTCTTAGGCAGGGCATTCCCACTTTGTTCTCCACTCGTGTTATGTTTTAAGGACTTAAAAAAATTTGGTGAGGAGTCGGAGGGGTTAAGGCGAGGTGGAGGAGCAGGAACTGAAGGACCTGAGCAACTTTGAGACTCGCCAACAGGTGGATGATTCCCACTAAATAGCAAGTAGAGAGAGAGCACTGGGGTTTAGAGGCAGAGGGGGACCAGGAGGGCACGACAGAGGGGCCAGAGGCCGGTGCCTCACTTCGCTTCTGCATCCCGACTCTCATTGGCCAAGGTAGTTTTTAGTAAAACAAAGAGTATTGTGAAAGGTCATTCTTGATCATTTCCCACATATCTCCACAACCAATGGTACTGTTTCCTCTATCCCCTTTTTAGGAACTGACAGGAAAAAAATTTCAATTGAAACAAAAGCGAAGAAAAGCAAACCAAATTCCAGAGTTTTAAAAATACATCTCTCTTGAAAATGAACAATAACCTGCCTTGAATGTCAATGTCTCATTTCCTGGACATAAATAAGAAGGGTTCGTACAGGGTGCGGAACGTGCAATAGGTAGGGGAGAGAGGGGGAGAGGAGGGGAAGGAGGAGGAGGTGGCGGGGAGGACATTTCCCCCTCCCCCCATGCCTCTCAGCCACTATGTCCGGCATGACCCATTAGGAAGCTGCATTCCCAGGGGAGAAGGGGAATGCGCTGTCAGGGACACTGATCCCCCCACCTCTGCCTTGTGTGAAACACCAGGCTTATTAGCAAGAGAACGAGGCCTCTCTAGACAGGAAAGTTTGCATTCGCACTGAAAATGCCAGGATTGAGTGTGGCAACCCAGTGGAGAGGTAGAAGAAAAGGCCCCAGTGTGAGTGCAGAGCTTTAAGACACATGACAAGAACCTCATAAGGCCTTCAACCGTGTTGTCTCTAATGTCGTTATATCAAATATTAGCTTCTGCAGTGTGTCCTGCTTGGGGATCGTGGCTATCCAGCAAATTCCAAAGAATTGCCCGAACTGCTTTCAGCGGCTGCCCGAAGACAAAGCCGAGAGGCCCCGCTACATTGTTTCAGGACTGTCAATGCCGTCACTTCTTCACTGGGAACATTTCACCCCCCCCCCCCTGCCCCCCACCCCCAGGGTGGACTGTGCACTATCCATGCATGACCTGCACTGACACACGTCCTGTGGCTTCCGCTGTAGGCAGGTGTGGCCCTACTTTGCGTTTATGAGGCCAGGGGTTGTAAAAGGTGTTTTACAGTTAATTTTAAAGATAACTGTCCACTTCTGGTCTCTGACACTTAGGGTCAAATGCATGGCCAAGGGACCCCAGGTGGAACAGGAGGACTTCTGTTACTTTAGGACTTACCCATGTCTGTGACAAGGAAACTCCCATTAGAGCCCAGTTATTAGAATTAGCAAATCTTGTTACAAGTCTCTAGGATTCTCCCACCCACGGAGATTTTAAAAAACATCTGTTCCAATTTTGTCACGGAGAGATTTAGGCAGGTCACAGCCAGTTCAGGACAGAGCTGGGGCTGGGGCCGGGGCCCACGCCTCTGCAGCCAGCACAGGTGGCCACATGGTCCCTCAGGCTCCACCCATCTCGGTCCCACCAAGGACGTGCTCCCAGTGTTCAGGTGAGCACCCCGCCCTGCTGGCCCGCTCCCCACTTCTCCGCAAAGCCACGAGCTAAGTGCCAAGGTCAAACCGCCTGGCCCTCTGGAGGAGTGACCTTATACACCATAAGGGCCGTTTCTGCTCGGTTTCTCCTGCTTCTCACCAACACTTGTAACAAGTATATACACCATAAGGGCCATTTCTGCTCGGTTTCTCCTGCTTCTCACCAACACTGGTAACAAGTATCGCTCCATCTACATTTCCCACGGGGGGTAGGGGTGGGGGACAGGGGGAGCATGCCACTACTTCAAGTTTATCTCTTTAAGCCAAGAGTAAACCTGACTCGGGGTTCTCTCTGACCCAATAAACATACCAGGGATGCACATACCTGCTTAAGAACAGGTATGGCCCAGCTATGCTACACAACAGATTCACATTTTAAACAAATCTTACTTTCGTTCATGAGGCGTCTCTGTGCTCACTGAGTGGTACCTCATAAGTTTCCTCTGCGAGCCCCCCGGGGAGCCCTCGATGGGTTCCGGAGGCTCCTGGCACTCCACAGGGAAGTGACTCAGGGTGTTCGCCCGCCGTCGGTAGCCCTGCTGGGGGGAGAGCAGGGCAGGCTCTTCCGTGGGAGGGCTCTCCGTGTCACCGGACAGCAGGTCGTCTGAGGAGCCCAGGAGCCTGGTTCTGCTCTCAGACGCGGGTGAGGCCTCCTTGTCACACACACAGGGCTCCTGGAGGCAGACAGACAGCAGATCAGACAGATCCCAGGAAACCTGTGGGATTTACAAAGCTCTAAACCCCAGCAGCAGGAAAACAGTTCAATATGTAAGCACATCTGATTATAATGCCATGTGGAAGCCACCACAATCCATAAGGAAATAAAAGCCCTTTACATGCCTGCTTGTCAGAGACAAAATGCTAACTTGTGGGACAAATGGGAAACTGCCCAAATGCAAGCGTGAAGGACGCAAACCATGACACAGAACGGTTCCAGGCCAAACGCAGTTTCCTCTCTCTGGAAAACACAACTGAACTATTGCTCGTAAGATGCGTAATGAGGGTTGGGAAACGTGTCTGCACTGCTTAAACAAATCGAGTTCTTTATCTTTGCCAAGTGTGTCCATACATGTTGCACCCACACTTTAAGGCTCTCTCTCTGGATTTGATCTAATGCTAAGATTTAACCTGGTAATCTTGAGGGTTAAAAATTATATCCTCAATTATTCTTAGTGTATGGAAAATCTCTCCCTGGGCACTTATTGCCACGATTCAGGGCCAATCACTTATCTTCTTTCTGCACCTCAATTTCCTCGTCTTTAGAGTGAAAATTTATCTCAATGGCTTCCAGAATGAAGCAGGACAATATAACCGGAAGTACTCTGCTCACTGTAAAATGTGACACAAATGTAAGGTCTTGTTTTGTTAGGTACTCCATGAAGGAAGCAGGACAATATAACCGGAAGTACTCTGCTCACTGCAATATGTGACACAAATGTAAGGTATTGTTAGGTACTCCATGAACTTACTGAGTAGGCCCTCAAACATTTGTTGAGAATCATGACAAGAGTTTAATACTGTAGATTTTCAAAACACATACTTTTTCAAAGGCATGAACTACTACCCCTCAAACTGATGCTTAGCACTGCACTCCCAGAACTTGGTATGTGGCCAACATATTTTTCTCAAATCAAAAAATACAAAATAAGAGGAAGTGTGCCAACTTGTTCCTACTGAAATTGCTAGAAGGGTTAAATTAATCAACACGAAAAGAGTAAAAAGGAATGAATGCATCTAACAGTGGACTAGAGAATCTACATTCTCTCTGTTCATTTGATATATAGTTGAGTGCCTTTTATTTACGTATTTTTAAAATTTATCTTTATTGTTGAAAGTATTACAGAGGTCCCCTTTGTTTGTTGTTTTTTTTTCCCCATTGACCCCCTCCATCCTGCACCCATCCCTCCCTACTTGAGTGCCTTTTAGATGATAGGTACTAAGGATTTTAGTTTATGTGGATTGAGGGGAGAGGTGATAACACTTAATTTTGTAGGAATTAGATGGGAAAAGTTTAATTCCCAGCATACTATGAAATGATATTTTAAACATAACTAAAATATGTTATCCTTCTATAGTTCCAAGGATCCTTTTCAGGCAAGGATTTAAAAATTTGTCTAAGACACTACATCACAGCAAACAATCTCCATCATGCAGACCTATTCACCTCAATTCTCATTAACATCCTCCACAGTCTATGAAAGCTAACTAACCCTTAGCTTAAACTTACACCTGAAAGGGCCACTCGGATGTCCAGCTCCTTTGCAACTCCTAGGTGATCAATTTATTGGGAGAGATCCAATTGCATTAAATGTGCACCTTTACAACAGTTTCTCTACCTCAGGATGAAAAAAAGATCTACAGGAGTGCACATAAAGATACACACACAATACACACAGGCGGCTTCTGAAAAGCTGCACTTCTCCTAGAACTACCCTAGAAACTCAAGCTATGTGTATATTCCCAGATGTGTGTTTTGGAGAAGAATAAAAAATAAGCAAGACTTACAGAAAAAGTCCCTTGAGTGACATGCGTGTCTTCGCAGTTATCTTTATGCGCAGTGGTCTATCTGAAACACCTTCTTCCCCGTCCACTTCCACAGGGATACTTCCTACCCTTTCTTCAAGATTCCATTCAAAAGCCTCACTGTTCTCCTCTCCAAACTTCCCCTGGTTTCACTGACCAAAAATAACTCCCTCTCCCCTCACTGTGACCACTAGGCCACCACCGTCTCTTATCCAAACTCCCAGGGCTCCTACCAGATGCTGGTGTTACTTGTGGGCCTGTCACCTCTCCTACCAGACAAGTTCCTACAGGGTCTCACTCCCCAAAGTGGGTTCCCAGACCACAGCATGGACATCGCCTTGGCACTTGTCAGAGTTCAGAGTCCCTGGCCTCCTGCCAGGCCTGTGGCATCAGAGTCTGCATTTTAACCAGAACCCATTGAAGACGCCCCTCAGGATCTGAGAAGCACTCATGGAAGGTAGAGTTCCTCACTCTGCAGGTGGGAGCACGTCCGCAGGCAGTGATGCCAATTGTGAGCTGTGCTGTGAACACTTTTCAAACAGAAGAGAGAACACCAGCATGTGTCACACACTGTTCACAGTAAACACTGTTTTGTGAAATTTTAATTTTGTGAAACTTTTGTGTGAGTGTGTATGTATGTGCTTGTGAACCATTTCGCAGTGTTGCATGTGTTTCTTACTATTGGTTATGATCTAAAAACTTTAAAAGCCACGAGCCCAGTAGGGATCTCAGAAGATCTTGGAGTCGCTGTGCGAAGGCGCTGGCCGCCACAAAAGTTCCCTCTTTCTTAAATCTGAAGCCCTTGGGTAGCAGAAGGAATGCTGACCTCCTTAGCACAAAACCCAAAACCCACGTGTTGGTGGTTAACAAGTTGAACTAACCAAGTTTAAATGGCTTAAATGTCTAGAAAGCAAGAAACTAAAACAAGGACACGGGTTTGTCACCCAAGAGAACCACTGCTGGGTCACTGTCACCAAGCCGTGCTTGTGGCAGAGGCGCGGGCTGGAGCGTGGCGGCTTATTTAAATAGAACAGAAATGTCTAATTACAATTGCAGAGCCAGCTGGAGGGTAAAGTGAGGTCCAGGAATTTGAGCTGCATACTTCTCAGAATTCATGAACCCACTTCTGAGGTTTGCCCAATTTCAGTTATTTTTAATATTGGAAAAGCTACTTGGGAAAGAAATCCACTGTGGCTTGCAGTAAATCCGATCTCAGTGGTCTGAATGTGTGATCTCGTTTCTCTGTTTAGGGAATGGCATCTGCTGAGCCACATGAGAAGTCAGTGTCATGGTCTAACTGCGTGGCCAGCCTCCACGGCACCACGAAGACTGAAACCACCAAACTTTCCTTGAGTGGAGATAGGAAGCCTCTTTGTCCCTTTAGATAGGCCCTGTAGAGACAAGATGAACAAGGCCTATTTGCTGGCTTCTTAAAGGCATCATATAAAGAAAAATGTGCTTACTTTGTTGGTGTTATTTAATGTGCTAGACACGGAGCTGTCCAGATCCAGGCTGGCAGAATGTTCCGGAAGGCCTCTGGCTTTATTGCCCTATGTAAAGAAAAGGCAGTTGAGTTATGACCCCTGAGGCTTCTGCAAAAGCATCACCTAGCTGCATCGTGGTTTCTGTAAGTAAAGTCGGGAAAAATGCATCTCCTGAGAAATGCTGCTAAGCACACGTATACATTAAGACAGCCAACATTTCTGTCTTTTGGTTTTTTTTCATAGCACACCAACCTAAATGCTCCAGAACACCTTGTGGACTAGTCAATTGGCAGTTTTAATAGGAAGGAAGAAGAGACTATTCGTTTATGAATTGTCATGGTAATCTGCCGGCTGTATGACACTCACAACATTCTGTGCATGTGGGACTCTCAAAGACAGCCACCCACCCCCGGCTTTGTAAATGGACTGTTTTTAATTATGTCTAAGGATGCTGCAAAATTCTCAGAAGCATCTTCAAACAAAATAAAAATTAACTTTAAAAAAATACAGCATTTTTTTTTTAAAAAAAGTGGGTCAGGAAATAAAAAAAGAACTGTAAGATGATGTTGCAAGCTCCAGAAAGGTTATCACACTTTGATTTCTGAGAAGTGCCATTTATAATCACTGGGGGTGGGGGAGTGGGATTTCTTAAAGAACTCCCATATCGGTGCCTATGTACACTTCCTATTTCTATTCCTGTAGAGCTGCAGTCCACACACCTTTCTGTAAAGGCCCAGAAAACAAGTCTCTTACACTTTATGGGCCATGTGGTATCCATGGCAACTACTCCACTCTGCACAAAATCAGCCTCAGACGACCAGTGAGTGAACGGACGTGGCTGTGCCTCAATAACCCTCCACATACAGAAATGGGAGGTGGGTGGTGTTTGCTCTGATGGCTGTAGTTTGCGGACCCTGCCACAGAGTTCCAGGTACAAAACAAGAACTGCAGACAGAAGCTGGATTCTTACGTTGTACCAAGTGACACCAGGGAGAACGGAACCCACACTGGGTGCATCTAACCTGTGCCCTTTACAGGAACTAGCCATGAACAGCATTTTGGGGAGAGACAGAAAATTCCATGGGATTATATATAACATAATACAAAAAATTGGTTTCACCCATGCCAGGTTAAAAACTGAAATTAAGGTGTAGATAACAATGTTGTAAGATTGAGAAGACATTAAAAAAAGATTTCACCTTCTATACTTTAGGATAAGCACAAAGTGAATAAAAGTAACAAATCAAATCAGACACTCTTTTAAAAAGTGACTTAAATCAGGAGAAATTATGCTACTTACCCGGGACAAAATACTTTCCAAAGACTCCGCTAAAGATCTCTTCGCTTTGTTTTTCAGCATGTCGAGCTTAAATCGAGTGGCACTGGATGGTAATTCACTTCCAATATTCTCTGCTGCAATCTGTGTTGTCTAAAAAATGAAGCAATGGAAAGTTGAGTCACAACTTCCTTTCTTTTCTCCTTTTTAAAAGGAATGAAAAAAATCTCTTGGGTGCATCTTTTTGACCCCAGGCCATTAGCCTACCCTCATCTCACCTGCTCCTCAGTGACAGGGGTACAAGTCCAGGAAATAGTTTTGCCTCAAAGAGTTGCTTTACCTGCTCCAAATGAAACACAGAAATGTGCTTGGAAGCCTTGCAGCAAAGCCGTTTAGAGCTTGTGCTCTGTAGTCGGAGCAGAGATCCGTCATTCACTACCTGGCCTTGTGCAAGTTACTTACTTTCTCTGGGCTGCAATTTCCTCCTCTGTAAATTGAGCCCAACCTCCAGATCTAATCGTAAGGCTGTGTTATGAGACTAAAACAGGTAGAGCAAGTAAAGCATGGGGCACAGCTTCTGGTACAAAGGTAGCCATGGTTAGCTTTTCAAACAATTTACCTTTTGGGGCATTTCAGAGGGTAAGATAAAATAAACTTACCAACTGAAGAATCCCTTCTGTCTGCCAATGCCAATCATTCATTGCTCTCTTGAGAGCTCTCTGTCTTCTCTCCCACCTATTGTTTCCATCACCCCTTTCATTCTCCTCTGCCACCAGGCTTCTCTCCCTTAACTGACCATAGTAGGAAACTGACAACATAATGGAGTTTGTTTGCCAACCACTAAGTGAAGTTTAATGTCATTTATTAAGAGAGAGGCATATTTTTTAAAAACCTACAAAATCCATAGATACATTGCTTCCTGCTTCTCTGAAGTGTTACCTGATGGTTTTTACATAACCCTGGTGCCCCTTTGGCCAAGAACAGTGAGGGATTTGGGCTCTGGCACTCCATGCCCAGGGAGATGCCTCCTTGCTCTCCGTCGCTATGTGGCCTCGGGCAGGTTACTATTACCTGCTGCCTCTCTCGGTTCCTCTACCTGCAGACTGAGGGTGCCCAATGGACTTTCCTCACGGAGCAGTTACGAGATTTAAATACATTAATACACATTAAAGCACTTTAAACACACCTGAATCTCAGTAAGTGTCATTACTAGCTAGTCTCTCCATTTGCTTTCCACTTTTAATAGAAGAAAATGACAGACATATTTGAATCACTCTCCTTCCTCTATCTGCAGAAATAACCCCTCTTTTGAATTGGGTGTTTATCATATCAACTCACATTTTTGTACTTTCATACATGTATGTAGCCATAAAACATGTACGTTGGTTTACATGTAGTTGAAGCTTAAATGAATATATCATCCTGTGCATACCCTTCTATAATTACCATTTTTCTTTCAATGTTGTTTTTTAGATTTCCATATCAACAAAGGTTCTTTGATTTGCTCACTTCAATCAAAATGTATAATCATAGAAGTTTATTCATATTCCTGTTGTTAAACATTGACTCCCTTTTTTGCTTTTACAAAAGAGACTGCAGTAACCTGTCTTGTACATAGCTCCTTATCACACATGTGAAGTTTTTACAAGGAACTAGGGATGTCCTTGCTGGGTCACTGGGTCTATGCATCTTCCGCTACACTAGATACTGTCAAATTTCTCTCCCTTAAAATGGTACCAATTCATACTCCAAGCATCAGCAAATGAGAGTTCACCTTTACATGATAGTGTCAGATTTTTAAATTTCTGCCAGTGGCCTGGGTATGAATATCTCAACTTGTCTTCCTCTGATTCTAATTGTGATTAAGTATTTTTTATTTTATTCAGTTATTTGCTGGTCAAAGACCTTACATCTTCTTTGACATAATGAAATCCTAATTTGCCAATGAATGTTATACATTTTTCAAAGCATAAAAGAGAAACGATTCTGGTCAGAGCTCCATTCGGCTTTGTCCGGTCATCAGAGTTTTACTTCTGTGAGAATTAGCACATGCGTTCAAAGAATGGCTTAGCTCAGAACTTCAAGAAGGGGGACTACCACTTATCTTTGTGTTTTCACTGAGTACACTGAGCATGCTCTGCACAACCCATACCTGCTTGCTGAGGAATGAATGCGTGAGCAATGATCAGCAGGCAGGCCCATGGGAAACACACACCTGAACTTACAGGTGCCCTCAACAAATTCCCAGTGCCTGCTAAGCATCACGCACCGCGGGCAGGTGCCTTACTTGTTGCAACTGGTCCTGTGCAATCATTTACCAAGAACAAGTGCCTGTCCTGACTCTCAGCAGCCTCCAGAGCAAAGGGAATTATCCACAGGGCCTCCTGGGACTGCCTTTGACCAACACCTGTTCACTCACAGAGGCCGTGGATGTGCTTTCAAACCCATAACACGAGTTTTCATAAAATGGAAGCATTTAGAGTGGATTGTTGTTGTTGTTGTTTTTAATATATTTTATTGATTTTTTTACAGAGAGGAAGGGAGAGGGATAGAGAGTTAGAAACTCGATGAGAGAGAAACATCGATCAGCTGCCTCCTGCACATCTCCTACTGGGGATATGCCCGCAACCAAGGTACATGCCCTTGACCGGAATCAAACCTGGGACCTTTCAGTCCGCAGGCCGACGCTCTATCCACTGAGCCAAACCGG